GTCAGTCGATGCTCGGCCAAGTGTACGAAATGTAGATTACCGGCTTACGCGTACTCCGAATTAATTTCACTTTTCACAACGAAGCCGAGGCCCGTGTCATTAACTCTCAGGCGCGACTTCGGACGAAACGTGTCATTAGCCCGCGAAAACACGTTCTCGACTTGCTTTTCAAGGATGCCGCCATTTTTCTTTCTTTTTTGAGGCAAAAATGTCCTTCGTTTGTTATTGTTTGAGGGAGGTTGGACATACATTTTCGTTTTGGTGGCGTTTATCTATTGTTTTTTTAGGAGTTGGTGGTAAATGTGTGTATGTACAGATACACACACGCACACATACATATATAAGTACATGTGTGTGTGCATATATACATACATACATACATACAGACACAGACACACACACACACACACACACACACACACACACACACACACACACACACACACCACACTATATATATATATATATATATATATATATATATAATATATATATATATATATATATGTATGATGTGTATGTGTATGTGTGTGTGTGTGTATGTGTATGCAGTATGTATATCCTCACGCATGTAAATTTGATAGCGTTTGCACCCACACATACATATGCGAGTAGACATATGCATACACGTTCTTGTACTCCTGTCATATGCATATATTGAATTTCTTTGTGTTTTTATCCGGGTATTCCATAGGACGTGTGTGTGCTCGTGTCCCAATAAGCCGACTGCACATTCAAACATTTTCACTGGAAACATTCCTACGCATTCAATCTTTTCGTGGTAACTATAACGGCAAAAAAAAAGAAAAAAGAAAAAAGGGTTGAGATACTGATACAAAATCTGTCTTTCTCTCTCTCTCTCTCTTTCTGTCTTTCTCTTCTCTCTCTCTCTCTCTCTCTCTCTCTCTCTCTCTCTCTTTCTCTCTCTCTCTCTCTCTTCTCTCTCTCTCTCTCTCTTCTCTCTCTCTCTCTCTCTCTCTCTCTCTCTCTCTCTCTCTCTCTCTCTCTCTCTCTCTCTCTCTCTCCCTCCCTCCCTCCCTCCCTCCCCCCCCCTCCCTCCCTCCCTCTCTCTCTCTCCCTCCCTCCCTCTCCTCCCTCCCTCCCCCTCTCTCTCCCTCCCTCTCTCTTTATATACACGTATGCGTATATATATGTTCCGCATACGCCTTTACGTAGATAAGCTCCCTAAGCGCGAATATATCAACAACAACAACAAAAAAATCAGCTTCAAACCAACAACAACTGCAACAACAAACTTAACAGATAAGCCAAATAGATAAAGCAAACTCCGAGAAGTCCAGGGGATTATCGCGCGAAAAAAATATGAAGGTCCAGAGATAATCCGAAATTTAAGCTGTAAACCGAGGTGTTCAGGTGAGGTGAGGGAATCGACTGGGTGTTCCTTCGACCTCTGTCTGTTGCGGGTTTTGGTAAAGTTGTTTTGGGTGTTTTTCTTTTTTTATCTTTTCTTTCTTTATCGACTTTTTTTTGTCTTTAATTGGTTCTGTCTTGATCTGTTCCTTTGTCTTTTTTTCTTCTTCTTTTTTCTTATTTTCTCTTTTTCGTACTTCTTTCGTTTTCTTTCTTGATATTTTCTTCTGTCTTTCTGTCTTGTCTGTCTATTATCTAGACTATCTATCTTCCTCTCTTTCTTCTTATTCTTCTTCTACCTATTGCCTTTTAACTCTTCTGCTTTCTATCTCTCTCTCTCTCTCTCTCTCTTTCCTCTCTCTCTCTCCTCTCTCTCTCTCTCTCTCTCTCTCCCTCTCTCCTCTCCTCTGTCTGTCTCTCACTTTTCATCTTTCTCTCTCTCTGCCCTCTCTCCCTCCCTCCCTGTTCTCTCTCTCTCTCTCTTCCCTCCCCCTCTCTCTCTCTCTCTCTCTTCTCTCTCTCTCTCTCTCTCTCTCCTCTCTTCTCTTCTCCCTCCCTCCTTCCTCCTCTCTCTTCTCTCTCTCTCCTCTTCTCTCTCTCTCTCCTCCCTCCTCCCTCCCTCCCCTCTCTCTCTCCCCCCTTTCTCTCTCTCTCTTCTTTCTCTTCCCCCCTTTCTCTCTCTGTCTCTCACTACCCATTCTAATCAAAAGTCCCATCCTGCACCAGGATGTTGGCACAAAAGCTGTTGTCCTCGTCGAATTATCATCACCCTCAAATTCATCATTATTCACGTCCTCCACTTACTCTTTCTCCTCATTCTCTTCATCATAAATCATTAGTTAGCATCACCATCATCATCGTCATGTCACCTTCATCCCCAGTCATCAATTATCGTCGTTGTCTTCTTCATCATCCTCGTCATGTTTTTTTCATCACCAATTATTAACTAGTATCATCTTCATCATCCTCATCATGTCTCCATCACCATCATCATCTTCAGTCATCACTCCAGGTATCAGTTATCATCACCATCTTCATCATTTATCCCCATCATGATCATAATCATCATCGCCATCACCAGAATTATCACCACCACCATAATAAACATCACGCATCATACGTCATAATGATAATGATGAAAAATAATCACATCACCACCACCATAATAATCATTACCATCATCAATACCACCATAATAATAATGATGATAATGATAATAATAATCATCATCATCACCACAATGATAATCACAATGATAATAATAATGATAATAATAATGATAATAATAATAATAATAATAGTAATAATAATGATAATAATAATAATAATAATAATTAATAATTGAATAATAATAATGATAAATAATAATAATAATAGTAAATAATAAATAATTAATAATAATTAATAAAATAATAACAATAATGATGATGATGATGATGATGATGTGATGATGATGATGATATGGTGATATGATATGATGATAATAATAATAATGATAATAATTAATAATAATAATAATAATAATAATAATAATAATAATAATCCCCACCACCATAATAATCATCACCACCATAATATTTATCACCACCATAATAATGATGATAATGGTAATAATGATAATGATAATCACAGAATAATAATGATGATAATAGTAATAACAATAATGATAATAAACAGAATAATAATGCATGATAATAGAATAACACAATGATAATAGAATGATATAATAAACAAGATTAATAACAGTAATAACAATAATAATAAACAGAACAATAACGATGATAACAACAATAACGATAATGACCATAATGATAATCACCATCATTAACAATCCCCTTAGCACATAACAACAACCTCTCGGTCACAGGATTTTCCCAAGATACCTAATCATTATCTCCGATCACGTGATTCTGTTGAACATGGGCGGCTGGGCGTGTTTGCACCGGACGCCCACGCAAGCTAACACGCCCATTAATGTGTTCTTGTTAATAACGCGTGCTTGGTTTGTTCCTTGAAAAAAAGAGGAGGGATAAAAAAGGAAAGGAAGGGGGAGGAAGAAGGAGGAGGGAGGGAAGGAGGGAGGAGGAGGGAGGGAGGAGGGAAGAGTGAGGGGAGGGAATAGGGAGGGAGAGGAGGGAGGAGGGAGGGAGGAGGGAGAGAGGAGAGGGAGGAGGGGAGGGGGAGGAGGGAGGAGGAGGGAGGATGAGGAGGAGGAGGAAGGGGGGGAGGAGGGAGAGGGAGGGAGGAGGAGGGAAGGGAGAGGCAAGAGGGAGAAGAGGAGGAAGGAGAGAGAGGAGAATAAAAAGGAGGGCAGAGAGGAAGGAAGAGGAGGGAGAGGAAAGAGGGAGGGAAGAGGAGGAGGAGGGAGGAGAGAGGAGGGAAGAGGAGGCAGGGGAGGGAGTAGGACAATGAGTTTGTATTCACTTTGTGCGAATCAAAGGTATTTTTCTTTCTCTCTTTTTTCGATATGTCTTTTTAAGTTAGATGTTGTGCCCGTGTGTTTGTTCTTATTATTTTTGCCTTTTGGGATTTTATGCTTCTGTTGTTTATGTCTAGTTGGGGTGGTCCTCTTTGTCTGCCTGTTTTCTCTTTCTGCCTCTCTCTTCCCTTACTCTCTCTCTTCTCTCTCTCCTCTCCCCACTCTCTCTGCTATCTTCCCTCCCTCTCTCTCTCTCTCTCTTTCCCTCTTTCCTCCTCTCTCTTGCCTTGTCCTGCCTGTCTCTCTTCTCTTTACTTTTCTCTCTCTCTCTTCTCTCTCTCTGCCTATCTTTTCCCTCCCTCCCCCTCTCTCTCTCTTTCCTTCTTTTCTCCTTCTTTCTCCTCTCTCTTGCTCTCTCTCTCCCTCTTTTTCTCTCTGTCCTTTCTCCCTTTCCTCCCTTACTCTCTTCTTCTCTCCCACCATCCTTCACCCACTCTCTTTCTCCTCTCTTTTCTCTCCCCTCTCTCTCTCTCTCTTCTCTCTCCCTCTTCTCCCTATCTCTCTCTTCTCTCTCTCTCTCTCCTCTCTCTCTCTCTCTCTCTCTCTCTCTCTCCTCTCTCTCCTCTCTCTCTCTCTCTCTCTCTCTCTCTCCCTTCTCCCTTCTCTCTCTTCTCTCTCTCTCTCTCTCTCTCTCTCTCTCTCTCTCTCTCTCTCCTCTCTCTCTCTCTCTTCTCTCTCTCTCTCTCTCTCTCTTTCTTCTCTTCCTCTATCTCTCTCTCTCTTTCTCTCTTTTCTCCCTCCTTCTCTCCCCATTCCTCGCCTACACTTTCGCCTGTGTTGTTCTTCGCTGTTCGGGTGACCAACCGAGCTGATTATGTATTCAATCACCCATATATTGATCGTGACACCTGCGACGCGATGACGAGGAGAGGAGAGGAGAGAGAGAGAGAGCGACGAGAGAGAGCAGAGGAGACGAGATGAGAGACGAAGAGAGAGAGAGAGGAGAGGGTTAGAGAGAGGGAGAGGGAGAGAGAGGAGGGAGAGGTAGAGGTAGAGTAGAGGCAGAGGGAGAGGGAGAGGAAGGAGGGAGAGGGAGAGGGAGAGAGAGAGAGAGAGAGAGAGAGAGATGAGAGAGAGAGAGAGAGAGAGAAGAGAGAGAGGGAGACAGAGAGAGAGGGGAAAGGGAGGGGGGAAAAAGGGAAAAGAGNAGTCATGCGCTGGAAGACGGACACGCGGACTGCTGTGGGGAGAGTGTAGTCCTCGGAGGAATGGTGGACTTGGTGGGCTGCCCACAGGAGGTTGACCTCTGGAAAATATTGGCTATGTTATTACTGGCCTCGGAATCTGCAGTGATGTGTACATATACTGGCACACTGGTTTCTGTTCTATAAACTATATTTCGAAGCCAGGTCTGGAATGACGAGGTAGTTTATCTGATTTCCTGCCCTGTTTCCAATCCGAATTTTGTTTCCATTTAGATAAAATGCAAGCAGTTTCTCTAATTTACTTCACCGGTAAAATAGCTGTTCAATAACAACCCACACACACACACACATATATATTCACATTAGGTTATGTAATTAGTGGTATAAACAATGATACGACCTATCGCCTTATTTCTTTAGAGGGCTAACCAGGTTTATCTTTGTCAAAAAGAAAAGTGCCATCGATACTATGACCGGACAGTGCTATTTATAACCCATAGCACATGCTTTCCACTCCAGTTTTCAGTAGCTAACTAGTAATGCCATATGGAACAATCGCATGTATGACTTTTAACTTGTTCATCACTACCCTTTGACAGAGCTTTGCCAAATATCCTCCAGTGAGCAAAGAAGCACAAAGGTTGGCCATAGTTTGACCCACAAGGTACTGTCCCTCCTTTTGGAAAATGGGATTTTGGTCAATTCATACCCCATAGTACAGCGGGACCTGAACCAAGTCTGATTGCAAATTTAAAACAGAATCCCACCTCACCATGGTTCATTAAGAAAAGCAAACAAAGAACAGAAAAAGAAGAAAAGTGGTAAACGAAGTAATGACATAATAACAAGCGGGCCCACAGAGACACTCCCGTCAACAGCAGAACATATAAAGCCTTGCTCACCGTGGTTCGCCCATGGACCAGTAGTAAGAAGTCGACGAAGAAGAAGGCGGCCCACCACGTGTACAGGGAGTCCCACTGGAAGTCTAGCACGCGGTACTGGTACAGCCACTCGTAGCCTAACAAGATGGCGCCCTCGGAGATGAATCTGTGAGTTATTTATGGTTCTCGTTTTAATCTCTTTCCTTAACTTTTTCTCCGTCCTCATCCTCTTTCACTTCCACCCCTTTCCCCTTCTTGTCTCTTTCCCCTCTCCCCCTCTCTCCACCGCACACCTCTCTTTTTCCCTCTCGCCTCTCTCTCTCTCTCTCTCTCTCTCTCTCTCTCTCTCTCTCTCTCTCTCTCTCTCTCTCTCTCTCTCTCTCTCTCTCCTCTCTCTCTCTCTCTCCTTTTTCCCTTTCCCTCGTCTCTCTTCCTCCCCTTCTTCCTCCTCCCCTCTCTCTCTTCTCTTTCTCTCTTCTCTCTCTCTTCCCTCCCTCTCTCCCCACTCTCGCCACATCACCTACCTACCCACTTCCCGTTAAATCGCCCCTTCTCAGCTTATAACAACCATCACCACCGTCTTTCATTACTTGTTTCATACTCACACGGTAGTTTCGTGGAGCAAACCGATGGCTAACGATGTGATAATCTCGTTGGCTCGTAGTTGCCTCCCGTGGCAAACCCTGTACGCTAGTTCTATCACAACCAATGCTAGGATGACGAATAAAGTCTGAAAGCAAAGATTTTTTTTATTGTGTTGTTGTTTGGTTCGTTGTAATTGCTATTACCGTTGTTGTCATTATTGTAAGTGATGGTAAAAATAATGATACTACTATAAATACAACAACTACTACTACTACTAATTATGGTAATGAGATAAGGATAATAATGATGTAAGGATAATAATATTATTTATATTATCGTTATTAAAATTGTGATTGTTATTATGATTATTATTAGCGTTATCATTTTCCATATGAAAATTATTGAAAAAAGAACAATACATATGAAGAAAAAACAATAAAGATTATGTTTTATATTGTAAACTGTCAGAAAGATCTATAACTGAAAACAATCAGAACAAATAGTAATGGTGATGATAATGATAGTAATTATTATGATAATTAGAATAAAAATGATTATAATGAAAACAATAATGATGATAACTATGATAATATCACAATTATATTAATATTAGTAGAAAAGATAATCATTATCATTATTATTATCATAATTATTATCATTATTCTTACTGTAATAACAATAATAATATGAATCATCATCACCATCACAAAAATAGTAATAATAAAAATAATAACATAAAAATGGAGACTACCTCACCTCATTCTCATATCGCGGGACTTCCTCCGGGTGCTTGAAAAGGGTTGATTTAGGGTTCACGGCGTAAAACAAATAACCGAGACGCTGTGTGACGCTAGCCATGGCGAAGGGAGGAGGAGCATGGACAGCTGTTTGATTTCCTTTTCGCTTTTCGTCGGGAGGTTTCGGTTCGTGACACCTGGTGCGTTGGGGTTTTCGGTTGCTAGGTGTGTGTTCTTTGTAAGGATGTCGGAGGTATCTGAAATTAGAAGAAGATGGCGCGGATATTGTGGATGTTTTAGGG